AAGTAAAATACAATTCTTGTTCCCAAGAAACTTATTTGCAAGAGTCCCATCCTTAATAAGGAAGCAAGAATTACTGCCCTTTGAACCAATAGGGTTTTTTTGGTTTGTTTTTATCTTTTTAGTGAAGAGGAGAAAACACAAGCTGTGGAATCTGACAAACCTGGGTTTGAACCCCTGCTTTACTAGGCATCATTGCCTGTGTGACCTTGTGCAAATCAATTAGCCTTTCTAAGCCTCAGCTTCCTTCTTTATAGAATGACAAGATGATATTAATAACTACTAATTGGGACTAGTAAGAGTACTCACTTCATATGGTAGTTGTGAAAATTAAATGAGACAAACCACAGTGCCAGGCATATAGGAAGAGTTCAAAAACTATAGCTTAAAGAAAAACTACCCAATTTATTGTAATTCTTCTAAATGTCTAGTCCCCAAAGGAGAAAGGCCATCTTTGATTTCTAGAGTTATCTATTATGCTAACCCACTATCAGCTATAGTGAGAATAAGCAGGTTCCATGGAAAAGAAGAGGCAACTTGGAGCGTGAGTGAAAGCATGCACCTTACCAAATTAGGTGGAGTGAAAAACTCAGGTCGCATGTAGGTGGTAGGTTTGGCAAACCTGGGACCAGAACAGGTTGCCCTTTGGCTCTAGAGAGCTAGCCACACCCAACCAGATACACAGACACACCTCCAGCCTCTGGCAGAAGCTTCCACTAAGTAGGTTTCATAAGGCTGGAAATCTTCTGCGGGTCCTACACAAAGGGTCTATACTTATTTCATCTCCTTACCAGACTCTCCTTTCTCTCTTCAGGCCCGGGCATTAACACAATTTTTATCACTACATTCTGATGACTGCAGACATGAACATAATTAAGCTATTCTTTAGTGATGATCTTAAGATCTTAAGCCATGCAAGGCCATGATTACAGGTTCCTAATCTACAAAGTCAGTGGGGAAAGGATCAGTTTACCCAACATGATAAAAGATTGATTTCTTCACTAATAGTCAGAAAGGTAAATATAATCCCTAGCTAGCAGGGAGAAAGGGATATCTCTAGATATTCATTGGATAGGTATCCCTGTAATTACACCATAATCCTAAAGAGAGGTCTCCAGATACACTAACCAAGGGGAACTCAACTTTAGCTTTTGGGTTTCACTGAATGCCTAGGGCTTTCCAGTCTGCAGTTTTGTTTCTCTGTAAGTATAGCCTTCTTTAGGCCTACACATGCAAGTAACTTTATAATTTATAAAACAAAAACAAATTGAAAAACCACAGGTATTTAAAAATTTAAATCAGGAAATATTTTATTAATCTATTAATCTATTCTCTAGGGAGTGATTTTAAGCGGTCATTAGATTGAGGGTGAATAGGTTGGCCGGGCACGGTGGCTCACACCTGTAATCCCAGCGCTTTGGGAGGCCGAGGTGGGTGGATAACCTGAGGTCAGGAGTTCAAGACCAGCCTGGCAAACCTGGTAAAACTCTGTCTCTACTAAAAATATAAAAATTAGCTGGGCATGGTGGCAGGTGCCTGTAATCCCAGCTACTTGGGAGGCTGAGGCATGAGAATCACTTGAACCCTGGAGGCAGAGGTTGCAGTGAGCTGAGATCATGCCATTGCACTCCAGCCTAGGTGACAGAGCGAGACTCTGTCTCGAAAAAAAAGATTGAGGGTGAATAGGTCAAAGCAGCATGCTTCTAAGACAGACCAAATTGTAATAGGCAGGGATAGTTCTCAACTAAAGACAAACGCATTTCAGCAGAGTGATACGGTTTGATGAACCAGGAGAAGCCAGTGAGTGGTGTGACCATGCTGAGGGCAGTATGAATGTCTAGTCAGTGGTTAGGACAAGGAATTAAGACACTTAAATATGAAACAAAGCATGAAGAAGCATTTGTATAGGATTCAAGTATTAGGTGGTTGGTTGGACTTCACAAACATTGAAGCTTCTTCAACCAACCTGAGACTCTGATTCTGTTTGTAGATTCATTCTCAACACTACCACTGAATTGATCTTCCTGAAAAAGCCATTTATGAAGAGACCACCAACTTCTATTCACCAAAGCACCAATATGCCAAATATGCCAAGCCTTTGGGACATAAAATTCAAACAGCAAACACCCAAGGAATTGAACAATGAACTAGGCTTTTCAAATATTTCATATATTCATTGAGTACTGAGTAAATAAAATACATAAAATCTTTGGAAAAAGTCTAGGCATTGCTTGACATTGATATTGTTATTCATTAAATAAAAAATTATCTGTGATATCAGTATCCCCTTTTAGCTGATTAATGGATGTGGTCACTGTCTTAAGCTCTCTCTATGTGTGTGTGCATATATATATATAATATATATATATGTTCATGTATATTTGTGTGTATATATAGCTTTCAAAGACCAACAGCCCTTAAACTTGGTAAAAAGACACTCGACTTCATTTAAAAATACACATTAAATCTACTCTGAGACTATTTGTCACTTAGATTGAAAAAAATCCAAGTTTGATGTATTTTGTTGTCAGGACAGTGGGGAAACAGGCATTCTCTTTCATTGCTGGTGGCAAAATGGTATAACACTTATGAAGGGCAATCTGGCAATATCTATCAATACTTCAATGCATATGCCCTTGATCCACCAATTCCACTTTGTGGAACTTATTCTTGCCTGGCCTAAAAAATATTTTGAATCAAGTTTCCATATTACCAACCTTAAAAAATATTTTAAAATTAATTTTTAAAATAAATTAGACAAAATTTAAAAGAGTTGTTTTTCATTTAAAAAGATGTTGGTCAGGCGCAGTGGCTCACCCCTGTAATCCCAGCAGTTTGGAAGGCCAAGGTGGGTGGATCGCCTGAGGTCAGGAGTTCAAGACCAGCCTGACCAACATGGAGAAACCCGTCACTACTAAAAACATAAAATGAGCCGGGCGTGGTGGCGCATGCCTGTAATCCCAGGTACTAGGTAGGCTGAGGCAGGAGAATCACTTGAACCTGGGAGGCGGAGGTTGTAGTGAGCCCAGATCGCGTCATTGCACTCCAGCCTAGGCAACAAGAGTGAAACTCCATCTCCAAAAAAAAAAAAAAAAGAGAGATGTAAGCCAGGTGCAGTGACTCACACCTGTAATCTCAGCACTTTGGAAGGCCACAATAAGAGGCTTGCTTGAGCCCTGGAGTTCAAGACCAACCTGGACAACATAGTGAGACTCTTTCTCTACAAAAAATTTAAAAATTAACTAGGGATAGTGGCATGTGCCTGTAGTCCTAGCTACTTGGGAGGCTGAGGTAGGAAGATCACTTGAGACCAGAGGTCGAGGCTGCAGTGAGCCGTAATAGTGCCACTGCACTCCAGCCTGAGTGACAGTGCAAGACACTGTCTCAAAAAAGAAAAAAGAAGAAGAAAAAAAAAGATGTGCATGGTACATCTATACAATGGAATTATTATTCAGCAATAAAAAGAAATGAGCTATCATGCCACAGAAAGACATAGAGGAAACTTAAATGCTTACTGCTAAGTTAAAGAAGCCCATCTGAAAAATTTACACACTGTATGACTCCAACTACATGATATTCTGGAAAAGGTAAAACTTTAGAGACAATAAGATCAGTGGTTGGCAAGGGCTGCAGGGGGAGGGAGAAGGATCAATAGGTGGAGCACAGAGGATTTTTTAGGACAGTGAAACTATTCTGTATAATGGAATGGTGAATACATGACATTACACATTTATCAAAACCCACAGAACTGAACGACACAAAGAAGTAACCCTAATTATTATATACTATATATTATATGCAATAATAATACGTCCATATTAGTTTATCCAGTGTAACAAATGTACCACACTAATGCAAGACATAAATAATAGGGGAAACTGTGAGTGAGGGAGACCCAAAATATATGGGAACTCGCTGTACTATCTGCTCAATTTTCTGTAAACTTAAAACTTCTCGCACGTGCGGTGGCTCACTCCTGTAATCCCAGCACTTTGGGAGGCCTGAGGCGGGCGGATCACGAGGTCAGGAGATTGAGACCATCCTGGCTAACACGGTGAAACCTCATCTCTACTAAACACACAAAAAATTAGCGGGGCGAGGTGGCGGGCGCCTGTAGTCCCAGCTACTTGGGAGGCTGAGGCAGGAGAATGGCGTGAACCCCGGAGGCGGAGCTTGCAGTGGGCCGAGATCACGCCACTGCACGCCAGCCTGGGCGACAGAGTCAGACTCCTTCTCAAAAAAAAAAAATGTGTATTGTGTGCATATGTGTGTGTGTATATATCCATGTGTATGTGTGCTTTTTTCATTCATTAAATGCCTTACACACTAAAGATGCTCAAGAAAGTACTACATATACAGTCTTAGCTCAAGAGCTAAGTCAATATCTCAAGTTCTGTTGGAGTGGGCAAATCCGGTTCTGATCCTAATGCTACCATTTTCTAGTTGTGTGGCCTAACTTACACAAGTTATCTCTTCAGCCCCAGTTTCTCCACCTGCAAAACTGGAAGAAAACACGGTAATTCCTCCTAGGGCAGTTGAGAAATTCAAATGAAGAATAATGCATGTAAAATGCTTAGCACAGTGCCTAATGAAAAAGAAAAGCTCGAAATGTTCGCTGTCGCCGCAATGGTAAGACAGTTACTCACGGAATGACTGATCTGGCACTTGAGGTTCCAAGGTTATTCTTACTCCACTAACAGCAGGTCAATAATACCCCAACAGGGCCCCAAATCCTCAACTCCAACCTGACCCACTTTGAACACAATCCACATTGCCTGAGTTCCAGCCCCTACACTTCAAACAATTCTTTACTTCCCAGGTGCTTTTCTCCTTCCTACTCGGCCTTACAGGTTCAGGCCCTAGAACCCCCGCCTCTCCGCCCCTCCCCAAACCACCCGGACCCGATCCCACTCAGACCCGGCCCCCGCCCCCGCCTCCTCCCAGACCCCGGCCTAATTCGTCTGCACGTCTTTCCCTCCCCAAAGTTGAAGGGGGGTTCCTACCCAGATACTCGTAGTCCGGTAGGGCTAGGCGCTCCGGACTCAGCATCCTTTGACCGGGGTGGCTTCAAAGCTCCAGCTCTCAGACTTCCGGAACCCAGGTTGCAGTCTCTCTCCGTTGCCATGGCACCCACGCGGCGGAAAGGGGACGGGAGCTGGAGGAGGTGTCACACAAACAGTCTCCGTGTCTCAAAGTGGAGCTGGCCACTCAAGTTCCGGGGGCAGTCGCTTCACGACGGTCCAGGTTTCTTTGGACTCCCATTGTTGAAGATTTGGTTTTAGAGGAATCTGAGATGAAGAATTCTTTTGAATCCATTGTTTCCCGGTGTCCAAGAATTACTGTCAGCCGCCCATATACGCAGGTTCTGAATTTCATAAGTATCCCTGCTTTTATACACTGTTTATCCTAACTCAATAATAGCCCCCGCCCTTTGGCCCCCATAAACACTTAGTATCCCATTACCTATTTTTATCTCTTTGGTATTTACTATCTTAAATTGCTACAAAGTGCTTAGGTATCTTTATACCCTGGCTGCTTCTAGAGGTCAGAGATGTGTCTTTTCTGCCTAGGACAGCTGGACACACAAAAGGTGCTCCTTAACGCCTCTGAGATAATTGCCATTTCTTCTCAATTCTCACTCCGTTGCCCAGGCTGGATTGCAGTGGCATGATCTCGGTTCCTTGCAACCAGCGCCTCCCGGGTTCAAATGGTTCTCCTGCCTCAGCCTCGCGAGTAGCTGGGATTACAGGCGCACGCCACTACGCCTGGCTAATTTTTTGTATTTTTAGTAGAGACGGGGGTTTCACCATGTTGGCCAGGCTGGTCTCGAACTGTTGACCTTAGATGATCCGCCCGCCTCAGGCCTCCCAAAGTGCTGGGATTACAGGCGTGAGGCACTGCGGCCCGGCCTCAATTCCTTTTTATCTTTGGTTCTTCTTTCTATTCCTAGCCCTTACTATTTGGTACCCTTCCCAGATGTCTTTCCTTTTTCCTACCAAGATATTTCTCTTCTTGAGGGGGAGGGGATGCAGAAACGACATCACCAATTAGGTTTTTTTCCCCATATGCCCAATTGCTCACTTCTCCTTTAAGAGAATATTCTTTGGTTTTCAAGTTCCCAAATATTTTTTTGTCCTTTCCTACTCCTGACAACAGGTCAGAGATCTGTAGCACTCCACACAGTTCAGTCATAGCAGCAAAAGCCAGTCTGTCCTCACTTTTTTGGTGCCCTCCCCCTCCAACAAGGTGAGGTTTGTGAAAAAGAGACAAAGAAAACAAAATCAAGCTATCAAAGGAATGACTGGGAAACCAGTAGACCACCTACACTGGGAGGAAAAGGAAAGAGGAGGTTCTTCTCTTTGTGTTCCAAGTGGCCTATTCTTAGCCTCCTCCAGCAAGGAGCCTCAAACCTCCTAATTCTTGCTTTCCCTTAAAATTGTATATGTGTCTCAATTCTAGGCTCCTGTAAGTCACTCTAAGTTTGGATGTGGTGAGGATAAAAGGACAGAGCCGAAGTAGGAGCAGGGCTTAGTGCCTTGAGGCAAATTTACTAATTTGGTATTTGGTGTGAAGTCCAGCAAATCTGATTTTTTTTTTAATTGCCTTCTTATCTGCTTCCCCATCTAGCTTGAGGTTATGGGAGGTTCATATGTTCCACAGCTGTGGCTTTTTACTATTTTATTAGTAAGGTAATACCATAGTAACTATTAAGAGTGATAATTTTACTTTATTCCCGAGCAACTTGTAGCTATTTGCAAATAATCTTATTTGTCCTCATAAAAACTTTCTGCTGAGGTGGGCGGATCACGAGGTCAGGAGTTCGAGACCAGCCTGGTCAATATGGAGAAAGCCCGTCTCTACTAAAAATACAAAAATTAGCCAGGCATGGTGGCACACGCCTGTAATCTCAGCTACTTAGGAGGCTGAGGCAGAAGAATCACTTGAACCCGGAAGCAGAGGTTGCACTGAGCCGAGATCACACCACTGCACTCCAGCCTGGGTGACAGAGCAAGACTCTGTCTCAAAAAAAAAACAAAAAACAAAAAACAACTTTCTAAGGCACTTTCCCCTTTTCTAACTAGGGAAACTGAGGCACAAGTCACAACAGTGACTTGTCTAGTGACTTGCCTAGCATCATGCAGCCACAGAGTGGTAGAGCTGGAACTGGATCTCAGCTATCCCAACATCTAAGCCAGTGGTCTGACCACTAAACCACACAGTCTCTTTTTTTAGGGTTTGTTGACCTGGCTTTTATTTATTTATTTTTCCTTTTGCTCTGCCCTGCTAGCAACTGGAAGCTCCCAGATAAAAGAAGATAATGTTGAGTCCAGGCTCAACATTTGACATTGTCTTATTTGTGGAGCATTATCCTGGGACTTGGCGGGTGCTGGCTGCTGGGGTCTGTGTGGTGGAGCTGGGAACCAGCCCCAAGAATATAGCTTTGTTTGGGCATTAACCCATTTGTGGTTATAATAATGATAAGTTTCAGCACCAGTGGCGCCCGACTGTTAATGACTCAAAGAAGGCTAAATAAGAACAAGATGTCATCTCTGGAGCAATTTGTAGGTTTTTCCTGCAGTTCCATCCCTTCCATAAAAATCCGAAGGACCCCTGTATTCCAAGTTAGTCTTCCACTCTGAATGTCCTGAACAGTTTATTGAGGAAGAGGACTTAGAAAAGTAGGAGGTTGCTAGAGTAAGGCTTCACAAAAATTTGAAGTTTCACTGAAACAACAGGTGGCCTTACTGGTAGTGGAATTACTGTTTACATTTTTCTTCCTTATATTTTTCTATAGTCTTAAATTTTTCTATATATGCATGTATTATAACCTAAAAACAAACAAATAATAAATGAGTGGCATGAAAGTCTTTAAAATTTTATAAGCAGATGTGATGACCTTCCAGATAGTGTTTGTTTTTCCCAAAAAGAAGCCACTGCTAGATTTCTCTTCTGTCATAGATTACTTGATAATAGATTTTGGAAACACATTGGTTATTGATGAAATTTTTCAATGAAACATACACTACACCAGTCTTAAGAAGAGTAGAAATATATAAGAGTTGTTAAAATCAAGTGTATAAAGAAAAAAATGTCAGCCTTTGATTTAAATTGACTTTTCAGGTTCTTAACTTATAATAATATATTTCTTAAAAATTTACCAAAAAAAAAAATCACCCAAGTAAATCTGTAAGTCACAAGACAACTCCACAATCCTAAAAAGAGGCAAGAGGCAAGTGATATGATCTTGATGAAAAATAGAGAGAGCATCAGATGTTAAAGGCAGTACTACACCATAAGGAATGTAAACATCAAATTCAGAACAATAAGAAAAAAAGAGACAGAATATATTGAGACGGTTTTCATTTTTGTTTGTTTGTTTTTTGAGACAGAGTCTCACTCCATCATCCAGAAAGGAGTGCAATGGCACAATCTCTGCTCACTGCAACCTCTGTCTCTCAGGTTCAAGCCATTCTCCTGCCTCAGCCTCCCGAGTAGTTGGGACTACAGGTGTATGCCACCACGCTGGCATAATTTTTGTATTTTTAGTAGAAACAGGGTTTCGCCATGTTGGCCAGGCTGGTCTCGAACCCCTGACTTCAAGTGATCCACCCGCCTCAGTCTCCCAAAATGCTGGGATTACAGGTGTGAGCCACCGCACCCAGCCTTTTTTTTTTTTTCTTTTTTGAATATATATAAGGTCTCCCTTTGTCACCCAGGCTGGAGTGCAATGGCGCAATCACAACTCACCGTAGTCTGGAATTCTTGGGCTCAAGTAATCCACCTCAACCTCCTGAGTAGCTGGGATCACTGGTGCATGCCACCACACCCAGATAATATTTTTATTTTTGTAGAGACAGGGTCTTGCTAGGTTGCCCAGGCTGGTTTTGAATTCGTGAGCTCAAGCGATCCTCCTGCCTCAGTCTCCCAAAGTGCTGGGATTACAGGCATTAATGAGCCACTGCACTCAGCTGAGATATCAATTTATCAGATTATAATTTCTGATTTTATAATGAGAAAATTAACAGACATCTCTGGCTCTGCAGAAGACCTATTAAGAGATTGATATGGAAGAAAATCCTCCCTATAATTGAAGACTATAGAAAAGCAAATGATGAATACACTAAACAGTTTTAAACTTCAAGGAAGCAATAAGAAAAGAATAAATGCAGGCTGAATTATTGCTATAAAACAGGTTCAAGAAACTAGGACAAGCTTTTATCACTCATCAAGCAGAAAAGATGCTAAAGGCAAAGTAGCTACTAAGAAATGCAGGTCATGAAATTCATGCTGAGCTACTAGGCACTGCATGAAAGACTTATCTTCCACAAGAGCACAGAAGAAAGTAAGTGTATGCCACTGCCTGGGATTCATATGTTTCAATTAAAAATGCTATTTATAGGAGGTCATTTTGTACTGCCACAAGCCAATACACCAGAGCTTTCGAGTAATTTGTAAAGAAAAGAAATGTTCACAAACTCTTGGGCGGTTAAGAATAACTAATGCATTATAAGAAAGTAGTTAAGGGGATATGGCTTAAATTGAACTGAAGTTCAAAGGTAATTATGGACTTTACCTTCTTGTTATTCTGTGTTTTCAAATGCTGCAAAAACAGTTGCAAATTACACATTCATATAGTTTGAAAGGGAGGGTGATTTACTGATTCTTCTTGATAGCCCACAAAAATTAGTTATGCCTTCTTTTGTCCTAGAGTATGCACTTTTTTTTTGAGACGAAGTTTCGCTCTTGTTGCCCAGGCTGGAGTGCAATGGCGTGATCTCGGCTCACCGCAACCTCCACCTCCTGGGTTCAAGTGATTTTCCTGCCTCAGCCCCCCGAGTAGCTGGGATTACAGGCATGCACACTGTGCCTGGATGGTTTTGTATTTTTAGTAGAGACAGGGTTTCTCCATTTTGGTCAGGCTGCTCTCGAACTCCCGACCTCAGGTGATCCACCCGCTTCAGCCTCCCAAAGTGCTGGGATTACAGGCATGAGCCACTGCGCCCAGCTAGTATGCACTTTTATAACCATTTATGTCTTTTAAAAAAATTCTTCCTACTAGATTGTGAGTTCCATGAGGCCAGAGACAGTCTTCACTCATCTTTACATTTCTGGGACCACGTGCAG